GCTCAATGGTGGCTTACTTGCCTGGAACATAGTGTTTCTGCACCAGCAGCTCCTTCTGCAAGATGCTCTCTTCCTGGGCTGTGGTCTGCTCCAGTTCCTGCTGGAGGTTTTCAAACCTAGGGGAGGAAGGCAGCTGGGGCACAAGCCTGGTGGGGACCTGCCATGTCAGCTGTGAGCCCAACCACCTCTACTCAGCTAGACAATCCAGCATTACCTTTCACCTGAGTTCATTCCCTGCTTCACCAAGGGAAAAGGGTCAGAGAGCACCTGGGCAGGATTTTTTTCTCAGCTTTTAAAAACTGCTGGAAGTTGAACTGGTAAGTACATTCTGTGCTGGATTAGAAAAAAACCAGCATATTTCTCCAACAGTCCAAAGACATTATTTTGGAGAAATATCAGTATGTTAAAGTCTTAGGCACAGTTCAGGAAAGATATCCCTGGCCTTGATTAGATACCAGGTGAATGTGACCCTCCTGGAAAACTCTATGCCTGCCCTCTAGTGGAGCCTACACAGCAATGCAAAGAGGGCTCTGGTTATTCCTACAGTTTAGAACCCTACATGGGATTAACTTGTCAGCTCCTACTCTGTTCATGACCATAGTAAATCTTCTCATGAGAAACTGATAAACACTGTAGAGAGCCTGAAATCAGCAGAAGTGTGCTTTATGCAGATTTGCAAAAGGTGGACACTTCTCTCTAAACGTGATGTTCCTGATGGAAAAGATGAAGGGGACACACTTTCCTTCATGATCAATTATTCTCCTTTCCACGTTTCTGGCTGCCATAGAGATATTTTTGGGGAGATCTAATCTAAGAGATGAGATACTAGAGCATACAGGAGTTCTCAGAAAGGGAGAAGAGGACACAGTCCCCATAAGACCAAGGAGAGAACATATTGCTTCCTGTTGACTGAGTCAGCAATGACACTCTGAGGCGTTCTTTCCCTGCCCATGGCTGGCAGCTTTGCCAATTGACAACACTCAAAAAGGACAGAGATCCAGGTACAGCAGACCCACTTGGATCCACCCGCTTCTGGAAGCCTGGGCTCCTACCTCATCTGGGACACAGTGAAGTGATGCTGCAGCTTTACTGCCAAGTCCCTTTGCCGGGTGAACAGCTCCTTCTGCTTCAGCAGGGACTGAAGATGTTCCTTAAGTCTTTGATATTCCTGTTCATTAGAAGATTGAGTTTTTATGGGAGGTTGTCCCACCATGTACATAAACATGCATTCTCTCTGTCTCTCTGTCTCTGTCTCTCTGTCTCTCTGTCTCTCTCTCTCTCTCTCTCTCTCTCTCTCTCTCTCTCTCTCTCTCTCTTTAGAACACACATGCATGTGGAAGCACACATACAAGCACACTACATTCCATCCACACTTAGTTTTCCAGATAACTCTTATGTAAGAAGAGATCACCTGGGATACTATGGCGAACAAAGTTACCTTTCATTAACCTACAACCTCTCTACCCATATTCCTGCCTGCAGGCAGGAAACACAGGATGTTCTGAGCACAAGGATGTGGAGAATATTGTGTACTTTTACTCAGTTTTGATAATTTTTTTAGTTTATTTTTAGTTTATATGTGCAGATGTATAGCCTGCTTGTGTGTCTGTATAACATGTGCATTCCTGGTGACCTGGAAGAAGAACTCAGTGGGCAGATAAGTCAATGCAGTGCTTGCCTTGAAAACCTGTACACAGACAGGTGAACACCAGGGTTCCTTGATCTGTAATCTAAGCTCTCCTAGCAAGTTCCCCAGTCTGTGCATTGAAGGCTTAGTTCCCCAGCACAGGACCACTGGATGGCAGTGGACCAGCCCTTTGCTCTCACTCAGTGCTTCCCAGTGCCTCCAAGGAAGGCAGCTTCCTCCTAAAGAAGCTCTCTATACCACAGGTTGCCTCCATTTAGGCCCAAAGGAATGACCTCAGAAAACTAGAAAATCTCTACAATCAGGAGTCTATAGTAAACTTTCCTCCAAGTAAGTTGATTGTGTCAGGGATTTCTTTGAGTAACAGAAGGTTGAATAACTCACAGCCAAATGACTACATATATTATTCCATACTAAACAATATCCCATGGACCACATTGTATGTTTGCACTCATCAGTAATGGGTATCTGAAGAGTTTCTAGTTGGGCTGTTCTGATGAGTCCTGCTGTATCCCTGTTTTCCCCTATTCTCTGTGGACACCACTTTCCATTCTGGAATCAATACTCCACCTGAAGTCTGTAGTTCCACTTTCTGAATAATTGCACATAGCTTCTCACAGGGCTGCACCATTTTATACTACTAGCAATGTCTGAGAGTTCTCATTTCTCCCAACTCTCCATCAGGCTGAATTTAACTCATTATGAAGAAGTTTGGAATAAAAGCAGTTTCTGAGTGCTGCAGACACAATATTGAGTGGGTACTTGAGAGTATGATGAGCCTAAGCGGTGCCCTAAGACAACCTCATCTCACACCTCAACACAGCTGTGGGACTTCTGCTGGGCTGGGATGCAGCCACAAGCACCTCTGCCGTTCAGAATTTCTCTGAGAATAAAGTTCAGGCCAGCCCCAAGGGCATGGTTAGCTGAACCAAAGTTAGGCAAAGGTGAATGGAAAATGGCAGCAAGCAATGAGGAGAAGAACAAAACAGGATGCAGGGACATCATTAGTCACCAGCATCCTTTCACCCAGAGTTGAGAGAGACAAAAACCTTTCTGGCCTTTCCTGCCTCTCAGTAGCCTCACTCTCACCTTCATGGACCCCTTTACTTTGTTTTTCTCCAGAGGATTTCTTTGCATATTAATAATTCTGCCTCTACAAAT